GCAAGATGGCACATTACCTTGAATGAGGTCCCCGTCAGAGCAGCATACGAAGACAAAGGCTTCCCGAAGGGATCTGTATGATAGTTACTTCATGCATGCAGTGCCTGCAGAGAGGCGACAGCTAGATATACATACTACCTAGTACACAAGACATGTACATATACATATGCATATACATGTGTACCTATGCATGCATGCATGCATGCATGCATGCATACATACATAGACATATGCCGAGGAAAGAAGTGTGCACATTGTTCTATATACACGCACTTTCAACACACACACACACACACAAATCGGTACCCTGCAAAACCGAAATGCTGGGGGAGGGAAAGGGAAGGGAATAGTGTACCAGAAGCCTGGAGAGGCCAAACTCACACCGCGTACGAGAAGTACGCCAGACAACATGTACCCACGACTCCAAGCAATGCGACCTATACCTTTGCTTGACGCGTTGTCTACATTCCACCTGCGTGGACAATCTTTTCGGCTGTTAAGCGCATCTCGTCACATCCTGCGAGCCATCGCCTGCCCAGCACTTCTGGCAGACAAGATTCGCTGCGCCTCATGCCTACACCATGCACGAATGCCGAGCAGCGCTGCACGGCATCAGATCATGCATGCTGAAACTGGCAGCGACATCCCTTAGAAGAGCATGCCCAAGGAGCAAGGGCCGAGTTGCTAACGACTTCGATGCACCCGAGCTTCGAGTTTCTATGGGTGGTTGATGCGCCGAGAGCGGCACTCGCGGCCTTCTGCGACGGCACTTTCGGCGCCTCACCTTGGACCGCATGCATCTCCTACCGCTTGAAGATGGTGCTGGTCACCTGGCGCTGCAGGCAATTGACTGGTGGTAACCTGGGCAGCCACTGGGGCGCCTTGCGGGTAACATGCAGTCTTGTCGCCTTGTGCAGCAGCCACTCAATGCCAACGCTTCCCAAACAGCCAGCAGGCTTTTCGAGCCTTCTCGTGGGCAAAACCGTCAAGACATAGCACTCCAACGCTTTGACTTTGGAACGTTGCACAGACCTGGGTGACGTAGCGGCCACGAAAGCCCTCAAAAAACTGTCAAAAGTGTCGACACGCAACTTGCAATGGTACCCTCCACGCCCCGCTCGAGCTTGAGATGCGAGCGATTTACTGGCGTTCCGTGTTCGTCAACGTCAAACTGCCCTCAGAGGAACAGGAACTGTCCAGGTAAGGATGTAAAGGCAGCAGCCGCATGTCGTTTGCACTTCTTGGATGTGCAGCATTGGCAGGGCCCGTTTGCGCCACAAACGACCCGTGTAGGATCTCGCTGTCTGCACTGGA